CGGTTGGCGCAGGATAGAGCAGGGTTTAGGGCTGTTGTGCATAGGGTCACTATGAGTCGGAAACGACTCGATGGCACATAACAACAACAACCACCTCTGGGATTGCAGTACAGTTTCCTGCCACTAGGTCACCAGAGCTTGCCTATCAGTCTTTTTTTTTGTGGAGGCCTTGTAGAATTCTGTAAGCTTTAGTTATGAGGTCCTTATCTGAGCAATCATTGCCAGATGTTTTCTCCAATCTATATGCTTTCTTTTCACCCTGTTGCAAAAAGTTTTTAATGCACACAGGGAGTTGAGTTTTAGAAGGTCACATTCATTGATTTTTATCCCCTCTTAGGTATACTTTTCTGGCTATATTTGCAAGTCTGTCTGTGCCATAGGCTAGGGCTTCTAGGGAGCTCTGGTGGCCTAGTGTCAAGAAACTGCACTGTAGTCTGAAGACACATGGTTTGAGGCCACAAGCTGCTCCATGGGAGAAGGATGGGCACTCTCCTCCTGTGTGATTAACTGCCTCTGAAACCCATCAGAGGGTCCACTATGGATCAGTTCAGATTTGACAGTACACCACCACCACCACCACAACAGGACTTTTAAGCTTAATCTCATTTTATCTCTTATGATACTTATGGATTTGAGTTTTAGCGTTAGGTAATTAATCTACTTTATAGAGTATGGTATGTGGATCCTGTTTCAATTTTCTGCAGGTAGATATCAAGTTTTACCAGCACCATTTGTTGAAGAAGTTGTTGGTGCCCCATTTGATAAGTTTTGATTCCTTGTTATGTACCAATTGACTCTAGGAAGCGAAGTTGATTTCTGACTTCTCAATTCTATTCCACTGTTCTTTGGGTCTGTCATGGTACCAATACCATGCTGTTTTAATTACTATGGCTTTGAAGTAGGTTTTGAAATCAGGGAGTAAGATCAATTCATTTTTGTTTTCCAGAGGTACTTTGCTTATTCATGGTCTCTTTCAAACAAACCAGTCAATTACCTTTTCTAACTCTTTGAGAAATGAGTTTGATATCTGAATTAGGATTCCGTTGAACATGTAGATTGCTTTTATTAGGATTGTCATTTTCACAATATTGAGTCTTCTTATCCATGAAAAGGGAATAAAAGTCTTTTGTGTCTCTGTTGTTGTTGAGTACTTTCAAGTTGGAACTGACCTATAGCTGACCCTCCAGCAAATTTTAAGGGGCAATAAGTCAAACAGGAGGAGATTGCCTGTATTTTCCCATGGAGCAGCTGGTGGATTCAAGCTTCATGCCTTTGGGATCACAGAACAGTTTTTTACCACTAGGCCACCAGAGCTCCCTAGTGTCTCCAGTTAAGTTTCTTCCCAAGTATTTCATCTTGTGGTTGGCTGTTGTAGAAGTTATTGTTTACTTAGTTTCCTTTTTCATGATTTCTTTGTTGCTAAAATTCCACTGATTTTTGTATATTGATCTTGTATCCAGCCACTCAGCTAAATTGATCTACCAGATCTGAAAAGAGTTTTGTTTTATTATTTTGTTCAGTCTTTGGGTTTTGGTTTTTTTTTGTGTGTGTGTATACTATAATATAATACTATAATATAATAATGTATATAGTGATAATTTTACCACATCTGCCAATTTGGATAACTCTTGTTTTCTTCTCTTGTGTCATTGTCCTAGCAAGTTTTCTTTTTTTAATGTCATTTAGAGTTCTCTGGTGGTTCTATTTGAAGAAAAAAACCCCATTATGTTAGATAAGTGTCCTGTGTTGTCCTCAGTACTAAGTGTTAAGCCCTAGAGAGAATAGAAATGATGATCTCTGTCCTCAGAATACTCTAACCTAGTGAGTGTGTGGATACAATACAATTTTAGTTCCTGGCCACAGTCTATGAGTGGTCAGGCAGGTAGCATTTGAAATGGGTCTTAAATCATGAGATGATTTGCCTAGAATGACTTCTTCTCTGATTTATACTTCTTGGAGAATGGTATGGCTGAGGTTAAGATGCTTTTGTAAAGGATTAATAAGAACTAAGGCTAGAGGAAAGCCAGACAGGTTGAGTTTATACCTTATTTGGTGATTAAAAGCACTTATTTTAGATAATGTTATAAGTTAAGTTCCTGATCACCATTGCTTTGTGACCTTGAACAGTTTAATTAACCTTTCTGAGCTCAGTTTTCTCCACTGATAAATGAGGACAGCACCTGCAAAACTTGCTGTAGTCCTGTGTAGGGGGAAAAGAGATCTTATATGAAAAGCATAACATTCTAGCCATTAAGGACAACAGGGAACCATTGAAATTTTTGAGGCAAGATGTGGTGGAGTATGAACCTTTGCAAGTCTTTTCTTTTTATAACTGACATCCTAAAGACTGCATACATTTAAAAGAGCATAATTTGATATATTTCTACATATGTATTTATGCTTGAAATAATCACAATTAAAATAATGAGCCAATTGTTCACTTTCAAGCATTTTGAAGAGGAAGACCAGAGGTTTTTGCATTATAAAGCGTCCTTTTCTAAGTTTTTTCTCCCTTTGCTTTGTTTAGGCCATAAAAGACAACCTCCTTGCATCTGGGACATCCAGCCTGACAGCCACCAAACAGTTTCTTCGCCCAAGAACCACGAGAGTCTGCATCAAGGACTTGATATTCTGTCTGGAGCAGGAAAGGCAGATGAGGAATTCACGCATTCTGTACCTGGCTCATCTGAAGTGACCACTCCACTGTCCAGGTGGAGCCTTGCTATTTACTGCCAAAGATACACAAAGAGCATTGTTGCACTATCCCAAAATGTCACTTTGTAGAAAATAGCCCTCAACGTGGAAGGCTATTGTTTACAGTTAGAAAATTTTTTGAAGTCTTACTAGTACATCTCATGGGATTCTTAGTGACCAACGTTCTGCTTTGTCTTGTGAAAACAGGTTATAAAATAGCAATTTACACAGAAGGGGCATCTTAGCGATCTATGCATTTAATAACAAGCTAAGGCCCTGTTACTACCTGCTTTATTTCCCAGTCTATTTATAACAGGTAGGGTATCATTCCCTAATAGAGTTTACTATAACTTGCATTGGGATTTCTGCTGTGTTTAATCCTGTTATTCTTTCCCTGTCTCTGATTCACTTGTCTTCGTTGGAGCTAGAGGTTACTTTGAGAGCTTCAACAGCTGCTGCTGTCTTGAAAGGTAGCAGGTGACAGCAGGGCCCACGCTAGCTTGCTGACTCAGTCCCGGTGTTGTCACACAGACAAGGTTGGCTATTCTCTGATTCATGTCCCCATGTCCTTTTCCTCATACTGAGAGAGGGGACATCCTTGTCAGGGAAGCTTTGCAGTTGAAGCTGCTGAAATACCTCGATGAGAAAATGGAACAGATAGAAAGTATTAGAAGGAATGGCAGGGCATTGAGTTCACACTGATAAGGGAAATGGAAATGGAATTCTAACACAGAAGCCTGGCTCCACATGACCAGGAGGATGGGGTGGGGTTGGGACTCCACCTCAGCCAGCAAGGGTTTTGTTGAGGGGGGAGATTTACAAAGCAAAGGAGAATGTATTAAGCATTTCAAGTGATGATATTTTTAAAGGAAGAAATTATTTTTTTATTTTGTCTTGTTTTAAATCCCAGGAGGGTCATTTTTGTAAGTTAGCGTTTTTATTGTTCCTTTTGTCATAAAGTTTTAGTTATTTTGAATTTTAAACATCTCAGTGTATTTGAAAAAAATCTGAATTGATGATTAGAAATTTTTGACATTAGCATTCCGTTTTGGATTCTATACTTAAAAGATAATGTCAGCATTTCACTTTTGGGGAGACCTTGGTTATAAATACACAGTGAGAAACATGTTCTCTATTCATCTGAGGAGCAAGCTGATGGGTTTTTTTTTCCAAATCCTCTTTTTTTTTATTTAAAAAAAAAATCCCACCTGTGCAGAATGCACCTGGTGAAAAATAATAGCTGTATTTGGATCATATACATTAAAAAATGTGTAAATCTTTCAAAAGGGTTTTTTAAGTGGGAAAGTTATGCTTGCTAGAAAAAGAATTTAGGGAGAAAAAAGCCTGAAGGTGTTATTCTTCATCCTGTTCTTCCTATTGGGACTGTTATGGCCGTGTTCTATACTATAGTAAGTTTTAAATTCGTCACAATTTTCGTTTCAGCAAGTTATTATGTAAAATGCTATAAATCATGTATATGTTAAGAAAAAAGAATACTCAGAGTTGGTTTTGTATATTTAAAGGCTTAGCTTTATTTTTCTGTAAAATGCAGCGTATTCCCATATTTGTGCATAATCTTATTGATCAGATGTTTAAAATGATTTCAAATCCATCATTAAAAGAATTATTTTATTATAAGAAGCACTTTGCTCGTGTATTAACTTTGCATCCTGGTGTCACAAGCTCTGGAGCAGCGTGGGCATTGGAGGCTTCCTCTGATGGGCAGGGCAATGAGAAGTGTTAGCCTCTGGAGTCTGGAACCTCACGTTAGATCTAGGTTTGCTGTAACACTTCCTTTGACACAGTTTAAGCTTGCATCCCATTTAACTAAGAACAGGTCTTGGCTTAGTAGGGTTTTCTCTCTTAAGCATTCTGTTTTAAGACATTACCTTTAATGTGCATCATAAACTTTTTTGTCGTAAAATACTTTAGAAGTACAGAAGAACAAGTAGAATCTATCCAAAGTATTTTTCTTTTCACTTTGCAAAACGATGAACGTGGAGTAGATTTGATCCTGCAAACCCACTCACACAGTATTGCCAGTGATAAATGTTTCATTTCTAAAAATCTCTATTCATACTTCTCTTTAAAAATGTGAACATTCTGAAATCATTAAGTATATCTTTTGTATGGCAGTGCTCCCCTGGAACCAACTCGTCACTGTCCAATTTAGATACAGCAGGCATAAATTTATTTTCACTTTTCTGATGTGGAGAGATTTGTGCTTGAGGACAGCCAGCTGGCCAACTGACTAGAAGAGATCGATATTTGTTCCCATTCCAAAGAAAGGTGATCCAAGAAATTATCGAACAATATCACTAATATCACATGCAAGCAAGATTCTGCTGAAAATTATCCAAAAACGACTGGAGTAACAGAGAACTGCCAGATGTGCGGGCTAGATTTAGAAGAGGTCGTGGTACTAGGGATATTATAGCTAATGTTAGATGGATCTTGGCAGAAAGCAGAGCGTACCAGAGAAATGTGTATCTGTGCTTCATTGATTATGCAAAAGACTTTTGACAGTGTGGATAAGAAGCAGCTATGGCTGACTCTGAGAAGAATGGGAACCCCAGAACATTTGATTGTGCTTATAAGAAACATACTTGGACCAAGAGGCAATTGTCAGAATAGAGCAAGGAGAACACTACATTGTTCAAAATCAAGAAGGGGGTCCACTAGGGGTGTATTCTGTCTCCATACCTTTTCAACCTGTATGCAGAACAGAACATCTGATGTGCTGGGCTGTATGAGGAGGGATGTGGCATCAGGATTGGTGGAAAAATCAACAACCTGCATTATGCAGACCACACAACCCTGCTTCCTGAAACTGAGGAGTATCTGAAGCGCTTGCTGCAGAAGATCCAAGGACTGCAGCCTTCAATGCGGATTGAAGCTCAACATCAAGAAAGCAAAGATTCTCACCACTGGATCAACTGGCAGCATCATTATGGATGGTGAAGAGATTGAGATAGTTAACAGTTTTCGTTTGCTTGGCTCCATAGGCAACACTCCTGGTACCAGCAGCCAGGAAATCAAGAGACATTGGGAAAGTCAGCTGTCAAGGACCTCTCCAGAGTACTGAAGAGCAACAATGTCAGACTAAGGTGCGCCTGATCTGGGCTATCATCTTCGCAATTGTGTGCTGTGCATCAGAGAGCTGGACAGTGACAAGGGATGATAGAGAATTGATGCCTTTGAGCTGTGGTGTTGGAGAAGAGTGTTGAATATACCATGGACTGCTAGGAGAACTAAAAGGTTTGTCCTGGAGAAGTCTTGGTGTCAATGATTCTGAAGCTTCGTCTGACATACTTTGGGCATGTTGCAAGGAGGGGCTGGTCTTTGGAGAGGGACATCATGTTTGGGAGAGTGGAGGGACAGCACAGGAGAGGAAGACCCTTGATGAAATGAATCGATTCTGTGAGTGGAGTGGTGGGAATGAGTGTGTTTGAGATGGTGAGGTTGGCACAGGATAGAACTGCGATTAGGGCTTTTGTACAAAGGGTTGCTATGAGTCTCAAGCGACTCAACAACGACAATCTAAAGCTATTTATTACCTTTGACAGTTCAAATCTACCAGCAGTTCTTTGGGAGAGAGATCAGCAGTCTCCTCCTGTGTAATGTACAGCTTTGGAAAACCCACTGGAGAGTTGATTCTGACTCCATGATAGTGAGTTTGAGTTGAGTTTGATCCCTCTCCCTCTTTAGTATTGACATTTGTTACCGTCTTTGAGGAACTTTCACAGCATAGACCATAATGAATTGCACTGCTGATCTGAAGACACCCTCACATTCAGTTCTTTTAGTGTCTGTAGAGAGAAAGATGGGCAGTTTTAAACCTCAGAAATCCAATGGAGAGTCACTATGAGTTTGAGTTAATGTTCAGTATTTACCTTGGCGGGTGAACAACAGATAGTATGCTAAGTTTTCTTTTAAAACATAAATTTAAAAATAAATATTTTTTTTTAAAAAAAAAACCTTGTCAAATTTTGGACATCATAAATCCACTCATTCACTTTTTTATTTTTTTGTTGTTGTGTACATTCCAGTCAGATCCAACTGGCACAGGACAAGATTTTCCCTCCTTCTCCAGCAAATCATTTGATGGATTCGAACGACACACCTTCAGGATTGCACCGCAGCTTCTTGCCACCAGGCCACCAGAGCTCCCTACATCCATTCACTTTTAATAGGACTGACTGACCTTTTACACAGTGACCACCTTTCACTCTTCTTAATAAAACCAAATATTTTACACATTGTTTAAGTCTTTCTGTACAGCTTGTATTTGAAATAAGCTTTGTTTCCTGAGAACTTTGGCAAAACTTTCTGCAGAGTTAAGTGTATTTGTCAAGATTGCAAGCAGGGTTGAGGCATCCCCTTAAGAAAAATATGGAACCAAGATCACAGACTGATTAGGTTGGATTTTATCTCTTTGCCTAATTGTATGACAAACCAACTCAATGTTTATGAAACTTTGAGCTGGACAGAGCTCAGTGGTTCTGTAGGAGACAATATGTATGATATGTCACATGTTTATCCATGACCTGCTGGCCAGCTTTTATTGTTTTTAGCATTACTATGGTGGTGCACTCAGGTGGCCTAGTGGTAAGAAGCTGTGTTGCAATCCCAAAGGCTCATGGTTCAAATTAACCAGCTGCTGTGCAAGAGAATGATGAACAATCTCTCCCATGGGATTTATGACTGCCTGTGAAAACCTGCTGAAGGGTCAGCTATGAATCGCTTCCAACTGAACGTCACTCCACAAGACTGTGGTGGTGCAAGACAGGACAAGATTCAACTCTGTTGTTCACAGGGTCATTTGAGTCGACTCATCCATGGACCTAACATAATTTTAAACAGCTTTATATGCCTCTCTTAAGTGATACAACTTTTTAACCTGGCATGATTTAGATCTGATAGCATCTTTTTCAACTCCTTGATTCGTAACAAAAAAGAGAGTTGAGCTGTATTGCTTGGGAGGAGGTCCAATGGGAAAAG